TTTGGCTTAGAAAGTAAAAACCTCAGTGCATCTGGCTACATGATTACAACACATAGATGGAAAGGTTTTCAGGACAGAAAAGAACTGTTTCAATAGCACACTTCCATACACCTTCAGAAAAACCAGAATTAATAGCAACTCCTAAGACTCCTGCTGAGCAACCCAGCCCTCCTGGGGACACCCAATGCAGCAGACATGGGAAAAGGATGGGCAAAGCCAAACTTTGAGTGAAAAAAGAGAACATAAATAGAGCAGCAAGAGTGGGAACCAGTCCCATTTACTCCATCCTTGCTTTTTGTGATGCCATAGGGATGAAATAAAAACACATGAAACACAAGGCAGAGCTAGGATGCATCAGGTGTTCGACAAATACCTCTCAGTGCACTAACGGCCAGCCCAGTTTCAACCCGTCCTTAGTCCAAGCCTTCCTCGCCTCCCGTTTCCCAGCGCTCTGCTCAGGGCTTTGGACCTCTCCCTTTCCTCCCGCGGCACCAGAACACAGCGAGGCAAGGCGTGCCGCAGCCGCCCCTCCCGCGTACCTGTCAGCTCCCGGCGGTGGGCAGCCTCGGCCCCGCGGGCAGGGAGCCGGCTCAGGCGCTGCCAGCGGCTGCTCTGCCCCGATGCTTTCGTGTTTTCCTCCATTTCCCTGGACCGGAGCGGGGCGGGGGGGCGGTTGTGGGAGAGCGGAGACGGCGGAGAGCGGAGGGAGAGCGGGGAGGCGGCGGGACGGGGCCGAGCCACCCCGCGCTCTCGGCGCGATTTCCCGCCGCCTTTCCGGGGACGGGGACGAGGACGCGGGCGGCGCGCTCGGCGGCCGGAGCCAGGGGCGGGCAGCGGAGCGCGGCGGGACGGGACGGGCGGCTCGCCCGACCTCCCAAAGAGGGCGGCAGAAAGGGCGGGGAAAGCCGGGACCCCGCTCCGCCTGCCGCCCCGCCTGCCCGGCGCCGCCCCGCCGGGAATTCCCGGCACGCGGTCGCTCCCACCGCCTGGAGAGCGGCTCGCGGGGTGCAGCCCTGCTCCGACGGCGCTCGCCCGCCCCCGCCCGCTGCCCCCGGCCCGTGGAGCGCTGCGACCGCGCCTCCGCCGCCCGCCGAACCCGGCCCCGCCGCCGCTGCCATTCATCTCAATCACCGTGTCCGTTCGCACTCCCGAACCTCCTTCGCCCCTCCCCGCTGTTTGCAGACACCGCCCCGCTCGCCGCTCGCCCCCGCCCCTCGCCCTTCCCTCGCTCGGCAGCCGCTCCTCCCCTATCATATTCTCATGTTTAC